CCCCCATCAGCCACCCCAGGACCCCAACAGTCAGCCCCAACCCAACCAGTCACCCCCAACCCTGTCAGCCGCCCTCAACGCAATCAGTCACCCCAAGACCCCATCAGTCACCCCAGACTCCATCAGTCACCCCCAGACCCACTCCCCAACCTTGTCAGCCACCCTGAGACCCCTGCCAGCCCCCCAACAGCAACCCACAACCCCATCAGTCACCCCAGGACCCCAACAACAACCCACAACCCCATCAGTCACCCCAGGACCCCGTCAGCCACCCCCAGACCCCGTCAGCCACTCCGAGAGTCTGTCACCCATCGCCTGACCCCGTCACCCGTCCCCAGACCCCACCAGCCACCCTGCGAGTCTGTCACCCATCCTCAGGCCCTGTCCATCATTCCCAAAACCTGTCACCTAACCTCAAACACTGTCACCCATCCCCAGGTCCCGACAACCGTCCTGAGAGGTTGTCACCCATCCCCAGACCCCATCCATCATCCCCAGACCCCGACAGCCATCCTGAGAGGTTGTCACCCACCCCCAGACCCCGACAGCCATCCTGAGAGGTTGTCACCCACCCCCAGACCCTGTCAGCTCTCCCCAGACCCCGTCACCCAACCTGAGAGACCGTCACCCATCACCTGACCCCATCACCCACCTCCAAACCCCATCCATTACCCCCGGAGCCCATCACATTGTCCCCAGACCCCGTCACCCGTCCCCAGAAGGACCCCGGTGTCCGGGGAACTCACCAGTTTTTTCCGTTTCCGTGGTTTTCCGGGTTTATTTTCCTTCTGCTTCCGGGGGCCCCGTTTCTTCTTCTTCACCCCCAGGGCCCCCTCGAGGCCCCGCAGCAGCTCGTCGTCACCATCTGCGGGGACGCGGCAGCCTGAGCCACGGGGACGGGGGACAGGCAGGAAGAGGGGTGACAGGCACAGGCGGCCACAACCGAGGTCCCCTCTGTGGCCACCCACCCACTGAGGCACACAAAGATGGGTGACAAGGACAGGCGGCCACAACCCAGGTCCCCTCCGTGGCCACCATGGTGGTGGCACGCAGCAAGACAGGTGACAGGAACAAGCAGCCACACCAAAGTCCCCTCCACAGCCACCGGGACTGTGACACACACACAGAGGTGGGTGACAACCACAGGTGGCCACATTGAGGTCTCCTCTGTGGCCACCAGCACGGGGACACACAGAGGTGGGTCTCCCAAACACAGCATCTCCCAAAAACACTCAGCCCAGGGGACACCGCTGTCACCGTGGCAGTGACCAACCGCTGGTGAAGGGTTCCCCAACCATTCATCCAGGTGACAACGGTGTCACCATGACAGTGACCAACCACCAGTGCACAATCTCCCAACCGCTCACCCAGGGGCACACCGGTGTCACCGTGACAGTGACCAACCGCTGGTGAAGGGTTCCCCAACCATTCATCCAGGTGACAACGGTGTCACCATGACAGTGACCAACCACCAGTGCACAATCTCCCAACCGCTCACCCAGGGGCACACCGGTGTCACCGTGACAGTGACCAACCACCACTGCACAATCTCCCAACCACTCACCCAGGGGGACGCCAGTGTCACCGCGACAGTGACCAACTGCTGGTGAAGGATTCCCCAACTGCTCACCCAGGGGGACACCGGTGTCACCGTGACAGTGACCAACCGCTGGTGAAGGGTTCCCCAACCATTCATCCAGGTGACAACGGTGTCACCATGACAGTGACCAACCACCAGTGCACAATCTCCCAACCGCTCACCCAGGGGGACGCCAGTGTCACCGCGACAGTGACCAACTGCTGGTGAAGGATTCCCCAACCACTCACCCAGGGGGACACCGGTGTCACCGTGACAGTGACCAACCCCTGGTGAAGGATTCCCCAACTGCTCACCCAGGTGACAATGGTGTCACCGTGACAGTGACCAACCACCAGTGCACAATCTCCCAACCGCTCACCCAGGGGCACACCGGTGTCACCGTGACAGTGACCAACTACCATATGAGGATTCCCCGACTGCCCACCCCAGGTGACACCGCTGTCACCGTGACAGTGACCAACCGCCGACAGCGGTGGTGGATTCCCCCTCCCTTTCACCCTAGAAGCCCTACCGTCGCTCCGCTCCGCCTGACGGTGACCAACCGCCGGCAGAGGGTTTCCCAACCGCTCACCCGGGGGGGACGCCGGTGTCACCGTGACAGTGACCAACCGCCGGCAGAGGATTTCCCAACCCCTTGGCCGCGGGCCACCGGCCTCCCCGTGCCGGGAGCCACCGAGTAATCCCCGAGGACCATCCCCGGGGCGGTGACACCTACATCCGTGTCACGGCCTTGGCTGTCCCCCGCTGGTGGTTTTTTGGCAGCCGGTCGGGGTGAAACCCCGGCGAGAGGTGTCACATCTGCCCGCTGGCTCTCGCAACGAGCTGGCACGTCCTCAGCCCCGCGCGCGCGCGTGTGTGTGTGTGTGTGTGTGTCTCTGTGTGTGTGTGTGTCCCCCCCGGGCGCCGACGTCACCCCGGCCGCCCCCATAAATCACAACCGGCGCTCGCTGACAGGTCCCAGCCGCCCGCCGGCGGTCAGGGCCACGCTCGGCGCCGGGGAGGGAACCCCCGGTGTCCCCGGGGCCGTGGGGGGGGGACGGGGATGAG